ATATATATATATATATATATATATATATATTTATATATATATATTTTTTAATATAAAAGTAAAAAAAAATATGACGTCGCTTACATATATATATATATATATATATATATATATATATATATATATATATATATATATATATACCGTCCGGTAGTGGGCGGTCTGTGTACTGGTCTACTGGCGGACCGGTATGTACCACCCGGTGCGGATGGTATTATTCGAAATTGAAGACCTTGATTTCGTAAGATATATCCAAATAAAATCTTCTAGAATTTCCTACATTTCAGCTATTCGATATGAAAATGGCTGTGAGAGAGATTTTTCCTTTCAGAAGTGATGATCACTGATCACTATTACTTTTATATTATAATACAATCATTAATGTTTGTCTGATTTATTAGATTACTAGTAGAGCAACTATCTTTTCTATTAGTATATGATTTTTCTCTACACTTGCTTATGTCATACAGTTAGATCTATGCAAATTGGCTGTCTGTGTAGTTCATTGAATGGGTCCATCTTGATCAGATCGTTATTTGTTTTGCTGAATTCTAAACACATTCTGGTCTTTTTCATTATTACATCACTGGATCAGAGGTGAACATGAGAATTCAGATGAAAGACCAAAATTAGCCAATCTCGCTAGCCCACTTGATCTCAATTGTCAAAATGCTGAGAACGGACGATTTTCTGGATCCTGTGTGACCTGACAATTCTCAAGTGAAGAAGAGGATACGAGAAAAGGAGTTCAAACTCAATCTTTATCACTGTAAACCATCATCATTTTTGTCATTAGATGGAAATAGATGGAATGAAGAGAAGTCTCAAGAAATTATAGTAAACCCAGCAACCTAGGTTCATTTTTTTCAACATATAGAATCCTTGGTTTCTCAACTACCTAATTACTAGAAAATGTAACATCTTGATACATCTATTTGGGTTCAAAAATGGTGAAATTACTGATATTTGAATCTGTAATTGATCATGAAATGCTCAAGGAAAGTGCACAAATGATTAGATGTCTTAACTTTATGAAACATATATGGAAACATATATGTTTCGATAACTATATCGAAACATATATCAAAATATATATATCGAAACCTGTTGTATGAAACCTTATTTCATAAGTTCATGAAACATATATCGAAATCATGTGTTATCAAAAAAAGCATTTCAAGTTAGTCTCAAGAAATACGATACACTTTCAAGATGATCTATTATAATATATTGTTGAGGTTATATTAGTTGAACCATTTGCGATTAATTTCTTCAATTCTAAAGCATGAGGTATCATTATATAGTTTGTTTACTAGATTTTTTTTTAATATGTTGGAAATTTAAAATTTTCTACTTGTTATGAAGATTCATATGGATTAAAAATTAGATTGTGCCCTACGTAGGAGATGTGTAATCGATATATCCATCCAAATTATATGATCTGATATTATATTCTTGGATTTGGGTACTTAGCGATGCAACCCTATTGAGGGTACTTTAGATGGGAATGGTGATGATGCTAAGTTTGAGTACCTTAGGTAGGTTTATTTGATTGCTCTTTCATGTTCCATTTATTGGTTAGTTTTGTTAAAGTAAATGTTGTCACCGGGCTTGCCTCACCTCGCTTGAGCTGCTTGACAATGGTTCAAGCGAGTGACTTCAATCAAGCATCACCTAGGTGGTCACCTAAGCTTGGGTGGTGATCTCTATGAGGGTTGGGTTTAATGATATGTCGATCCGATACCATCTCTCGGATGGAAGTTTTGGTAGAGGAGTGAGAGATTGCTAGAAACAAGAGTAAAATTAAAAGGAAAACAACCTCGATTGCTTGTAAGATTAAAGTACCAACTACAAGGGCTACAACGGAGTAAAGTGTGTTAAAATACTTAAACAAAAGCATTAAAACACAAATTGTCTTTGGATAGCACCTGGGTGTTGTTGGCAGGTTGAGGATTGTTGCCAACTTCGATATCCTCTTTTGCTGTTGGAACCTCATCTTGGAATCATTTGAGGTTTCGACAATAGGTAGTATGGTTTTAGGTCTTCTCACAATAGCTAGACGAAGTTTAGTTAAAGGACTTTGGCTGTTGAAACTTAAAGAACTTATGCTTTTATGGTTGGAGGTCTGCAACACCTTAAAGAACTTCTCTTTTCTTTTTTCTTCTCTTGCTCTCATCTAAAGCTGGAAAGCTAGCGCCGGCTAGGGTTGCTTCTTGGCTGCAATGCCTTAGACTGGGCTCTCCTCCCTCTTTTATTGTTGTGGTGGGGTAGGAGTCTTAATGGTTTAGGACTTTCCTTCTAGGGTTGGCGCACACTCGTTTACTCCAAGTGGGAGTGGTGCCTCCCTTCCTTGGTGGCTACCCTATTTGAATAAGGGCCGCGCTAGTCCTATTCCTAATAGGACAAGGATTGAGGTGAGTGGGCATGGATCTAGGTTAGCCAAAGGGTCCCTGAAGAATTGGTTAGGGTTTGGCCAAATTGGACTTAAATCGGAGTTGTATTGGACTTCGATCGAAATTTGAGTTGAACTTGACTTGAATATGGTCTTTGAGCTCATTTTTTGATCTTGGTTTAGATATCAAGATTGAATTGAAGTCTGATTGAAAATCCACTTGAGCCAAATTCGAGCTTGGCTTGAACTCTACTAATCATCCCTGATCACGGCTCCCTCAATTAGGTGATTTACATTCTATTGATTCTTTCTTTAAGTTTTAGTCTCTCTCAATTTGTAGATTGGGGGTTTTGCTTTGGTTCATCGATGTGGTTGGCATCGCCGTGCCTAGTCGTGCCATCTTGATGGGGTTCTACTTATTGCCGACCACCGTCAGCTCAAGGGCTTCCTTTCTATTCTCGGGGCTTTGAGGTTGTTGTTTCCCTTTTTACTTTCTCCTCTTTCATCATGTTAGAGCAAGGCTTTGGTTCTTTGCATGTCGAAGCAAGAGCCACGAAAACAAATCGGATGTTAAGTCTTTATTGTTACCCTTTTTAGTTTCACCATCCTCTTTGTTTGGTCAGTGGATGTTAAGTCTTCCATCAAACAAATCATATCTCAGGTGACGTGGAACTTCGATCCTTTCACAGTTGATGCTTATAGGCTCAACAAAACCAAATTATGGGGTCCTAAGGATGACTTTGACAAATGTCAAACGGAACCACCTTGTACGTCACTTCATCGATTAGTTCCTTTGGGATGACGAAGTATACCTTATATTATTGGTCGATGTTTGTCTCCATATTATCATGAAGGTATCTAAGATGATATGGGCGTAGATGCGGTGGTGTCTCTAGGTCTA